GCAGCAGCTCGGCCACCCTTCACCAGCAGCAGCAACAGCAACAGCAACAGCAGCAGCGGTGAGACCGGGAGGTTCGTTCTCCCTGCAGGCGTTGCATGTGCTGTGTGCTGCGCTGGGGGCCTCTTTGAGCTCTGTTGTGGGGACCCAGGGCCTGTGGTTGCTGCTGCGGTGGCTGTTCCAGCTGCTGCTGATGCAGTCACTGCTGCGGAAGTGCGTCGCTGGCTTCTTCGTTTGTCTGCCTCGCAGGAGCTTTTGTGCGTGTCATTAGAGTTATTTGTGCTGCTTATAGTTGCAAAGGAAGCACAGAGGGAGGTGAAAGAACCGCAGCAGCAGCAGCAGCAGAGGCGGGTAGCTGAGTGGCCTCAGCAGTGCACAGGAGCGGCAGCGACAGATGAGAGGAGCAGCGGCTTGAGAATATGAAGAAAGACAGAAGTAATCCTCATAAATTTCTGTATTTAACCTTAAAGAAGTAATATAATAAACAAAAAAAGTTCACTCATCTATACACGGTATAAGGCACAGAGAGACCTCGGCTGTTGTGTGGCTGCTGCAGCGGACAGCCGCTGTAGTGATCAGCGTACTCTGCTGTTATATATATACTACGGTCGCGTTCTATGCATACATAATAGGTGCACACTCTACACGTACAGCTCAAACCCAAAAAATATTCAATAAATTTATCTTAATACTCAAATTACAATTCTTAAAACATATTCGAATACAACTTTTATACAAAAAAAAATAAACACGAATGAAACAACTGCCCCCGACCCTGCACAGGGTCGGTGTCTGAGCTGCAGCATCAGCCTCACAGCCAGCCCCATATACCCANTGCCCCCGACCCTGCACAGGGTCGGTGTCTGAGCTGCAGCATCAGCCTCACAGCCAGCCCCATATACCCACTCAACCTGCCGAGCACCCGTATTTTTCGGGCTATATTTTCTGTATAAATTAACAATGTATTTTGAATAAGATCTCGTTTATATTCTGTCTGCACTGTATACATCAAGAGGTGTCATTTGAGCCCCGTTGTAGTGCCTGCGCGCCGCAGCCGCAGCCGCAACCTTCTGCTGCTGCAGCCGAAGTTAGATTATTGTGCTTTCCTTTTTCTACCCAAAAGAATCAATTAATCAAATGTTTTTTATCTTTTTATTACACTCAATCTGATTAAGTACAGCTCGGGTTGCTGCCTGTTTTTTTCTGTTGCGCCCTGCGACTCGCCGTTGCTGCAGCTGCTGCTGCCGCTGCAGCAGCTGCAGCACAACCGACCGCCGCTGGTCAACTCGTTCGGCTGTCTGTACACTGTGGTTCCCTTTCTCAATACCTGCAACCCAAGTTTTCATTTCTGATTCTCAGACTCTACGCAGCAATTCTGAGGACTGCTAGCAACACCGGCTGCCTCCTCCACTGCCGTGCAGATGGGAGATGCGCATCAGCGACCCCTTGCTGCAGTGAAAGGGGAATGCATATGGTATAACATGCATGAATGCATATAAGCTTAGATATCTGCCTTGTCCGTGAGGCTGGGGTTGCTGTGTCTCAGCAGATGCAGCCGCTCAACTTAGCTTTCATTCGCACCGATAGCACGATAGTTTCAGAGTCGCTAGTTCCAGCTAGCTGTGTGCAGCTGCTCTCAATGGAGGTGTATGTACAGTGCAAAAAGCTACAAGTTCGCGGTTATCTGTTAGCGATAGTTTAACAGTCGCTCGTTCCAGCTAGCTGCGTGCAGCTGTTCCCTCTGCAGGTGTACAAACGTACACTGCAAAAAAAAAAAAACGAGTTTGCGCTTATCTCAAAACTAATGTGCCAGCCTGAAGCAGAAACCCTTTGCGTTATAAGGATGACTCCGCACGGGATGGTTGTGCTGCAGCTTTCCTTTAGTTTACGCTTGACCCAACTATATATATGGATGTGTTTCGGCTGTATGTACGTTATGTTTCCATCACGGAAGCAGACAACAGCAGTAGTAGCAGGAGTCCCCTTAAACCGAGGAACTGCCGTTTCTGGGGCCGTAACAAAAGAATTGCTTAGTAGCAGAAGCGTGAAACACCGGCGCCGAGCAAACGTGCTTGTAGTACCTTCACTTCAGCCTGAATGGCAAGGTGTGGTGGCCACTTGCACTTTTTAAACGAAGGAATGTTTTGTTTCTTCTGCTGTATTTACACCCCATTAGTTTACGGGTTCAAGCAAGCAAGGCTTGCGTAAGAGTTGCCGGATTTCAACTATGGCTACTGATCTAGTAATATACCAACGGCAACAGAAACTGCAAATTGCAGCGACAGAGGTGTATCTGTGTGCTGAGTTGCGTTGCTTGTACTGGGGTAACTTGTATTCTTGTTTACAATAAAGGAGTTATGCACGTATATCTTTCCGCCCTGAAAAAACTGCTTTCGTTAATTTCATTCAACGTTTACTCTCCCTTCGCCTTGAGGGAAAGTACTTGCATCCGTCTAACGATAGGATCCAGTACAACCGCTTACTTAGTATATGTGCATTTGAACTCGGTCATTCCTAAGCATAAAGAAGTTGCCACATGCCCGTTTACGTAATACATATACGCACGTATGTATATGCATACATGTTCATATGCTGTTGTTCCTCCCCTCGCGTGTCGCTTCTGAAGTATATTGAAATCTACCTCCTTACACTTTCTTTTGCAAGGAATAATTAACGAAATTGAATTCCTCTGCCTTGTATCACCAGTCCGCCCGCCCCCGCCTGGTTGCCTGGGTGAGAGATGTTGCTCGCCTGTGGTTTGTGGTTCATAGACCCTCCATGGACGGCCACACAGAAATAAAGAAAATATTTCAGTGGCACAAATTACTCGTTTCACCCCATCCCCCCCCGTTCAGATACTCAGACAGGTCCGGTCTGGCTTGAGGGGCGCAGGAAGACCGGTGGTCCTTCGTGTGCGGGCACTGCCGAAGCAGCGTTTTTCTCTGCCATTCAAATTGTTTAATAGCGATTAAATAAGGTTAATATTTATATTTGCATTCGACAGAAGTGGGAGGAAGGCGAGTGTCGTCACGGCATGCTGGTGGATATCTGCACAAGCCGCTGCAAGCTCACAAGACCAGCAGCTCGTTTATGCGTACACCGTTGAATTCTACTTCTCCACTAGAGAAACACAAACACGCCCTTTTATAATACGAAAAACAATATATTTGCTGCAGCCGAAAGACCTGAGTGGTGGTGCTCCGGGACGGGTTCGTAGGGTTCCAGTAGTGACCCTCATCCCCCCAACACGACATATGGCGTTATATTGATGTTTGGCGCGTCCCCTCGAACCTGAAAACCCCAGGAAAAACAACGTTCCAGGTTCATCTGCACTTTTTCTGTTCCTGGTTAGCTGACCCTTCGTTCCAACTAGAAACCACCGTCCTCCTGCAGTGTCGGCGGTGACCTCGGGATCAAAAAAGCATA